AGGTCAGGGRTTGATAATGCTTTGGAAATCTTATATCTTTTCTGATTTTATTATTATTACTCAGGAATAATAACATCTTCCGTGATTGTGGATTTTATCAGTTTTTCTTCTTAGTTTACTTTTTTGTTTTGCTTATATATCTTAAAAATCAGTAATAAGCTACATATACAAGTCGGATAAACCTTTTGTTATGAAACACCTCTCTCTAGTAACATTTCTCTTTAAGTCTTTATTACTGTTTGCATGGTGTCTTTTCCCATCCTTTTACCTGTGAAGGATTGGGTTTCTTTAACATGAGTCTCTTGTTACTTCCATATTGTTGAAAGTTTATATTCAGCCAGACACAGAGGCACAGGCCTATAATCCCCAGTGACAGGGGAGGCTAAGGCAGGAGGATTTCGAAGTTTAAAACTAATGTCAGCAAATTAGCAAGGCCCTAAGCAATTAAGTGAGACCTTTTTATTCAGTCTGATCTTTGCCTTTAAATTGATGATGCTTAATCCACATATATCCATTTTAATTATTGGTATGGTACGGCTAGAGTCTGTTATCACACTTGTTCTCTCTTTGTACTGTTAGACTGTTTTTCTTTTTTCCTTTCTGCTTTCTATTTAGTATTCCATTTTATCTTCTTTGTTGACCTTTTAGTTGTCTTTTTTCAGTAGTTGCTATAAGGATATGCATTCTTATTACAGTTTATCATCAACTACCACTTCATGTATACTGTATATACCTTATAAAGTATACTTCCTATAATTTTTTCTGTCATTGTCAGATATCTTCTATATATCCTAAATCTTCAATTCTTAAATCTATTAAACTGTTTAAACACTTTCCTTTTTAACAATTAGATTTTAAATAATTAAAAAAACTTCTATTTACCATTTCTGGCACTCCTCTTTCCYTTCACATAAATGTTTCACTAGGTATCATGGACCTTCAATGTGAAGTACTTCCTTTAACATTTATTATAGAGCAGGCATCTTGGTATCACATTTTCTAGTTTTAAGTATGTCTTTATTTCATCTTTGGAAGGACATTTTCATTGGATATACAATGTTAGTTTTGTGCTCTTATCTCTGCACTTCAAAACATTATAGAGTGTTTCTTGATACTCATCTCTCATCTTCTCTCTGAATTTCAACATTAAATCACTGAGATTATCCCTTAAGTCATTGTCTGCTAATTGTTTTTCAATCCTTTTACCTCTGTACTTCAGTATTGAAAGATTTTAACCTCTGCCATTAATGTACATCATCTCTTGCATTGTCCTTTACATTATGCTCAGAATTTTTTTAGTTGTAAAATTTCATTTTAAAAAATTTGAGATTCCAGTAACTGTCAACCTTTTCTAATATTTATATCAACTTTGAAAGGACCTATCTGCTATTTCCAACATCTCTTATCAACTCTAGGTTTGTTTTGATTGCTTAATTTTTCTCCTGGTTGATTGTCCCATTTTTGTTTGCACACCTAATAATTTTACTGTATGTTGGATATTGTGGACCCTATGTTCAGAGTCTGGATTTTATCTTCCTTTAAAGAATGTTTTGTGCTGGCAGGTAGCTAATGTATTGTCAGATCTGCTAAATCTTGTTGAGGCTTAAGTTTTAGGCAAGGTTACAGTAACCCTATCCTCAAGACATGGCTTTTTAGCATTTTCAGTTGAATGCCTTGTGGGGGAGGGGGAGTCCAGCAAAGTCTGTCTCCCTTGGCTGGTCAGCACTCCTGTCTTCCAGAACCACCTACCTCCAGAATCTCCATGTGGTCCTGGCTCCATGTTTCCCACTCTGCACTGTTTATGTAGTACTGAACCAGATGTAAGGAAATCACTGTTAATTTCTGGAGCTTCTCTGTGTAGCTTTCTCCTCTCCAGTCAGTACTCTACTCAGCAAATTGCACACATTTTACTTTGTTTTAGTTTGCAAAGTGCCCACAGGCAGAGGGTCATGATAATTAAAGGGGAAAAAAAAAATCTCATTTCTCTTAAGAATCTGTCCTGAATCGCTATGTTGTAAATACTGCTTTATATGTATTAGACTTTCATAGTTGACAATCATAATTCCATAAATGGAATCAGGAAGTAATTTTGTTAGTTCTAACTTTAAAATTGAAGGTTATTTTTCCTTCTCTTTTTTGGTTTATTCTGTGTCTATCTGCCCTGCTTTTTTCCTCAAAGACACCATTGTTCTTGAATAACCTGGGTGGAGAGCTAATTCAGGATCAGTAGGATGTTTTATCCTTCTTCCACATCCTCTCTTCAGGCTCACCTTCAGGACCAGGTTCATTACCCCCACCAAGAATGTACAGAATGGAGTTTTTTAAAGACTATTTGATCTGATGTGGTCAAAACAGCTTTATGCAATAAGCAGTCCTTTAAAAAATTAGATGATAAAAATGACATTTAAATTCAGTCTTATTTCATTTCATTCTGGGTTCCAGTTTCTGAAAGTGAAACTTAACAGAACTTGCTTTTATTTAATAATAGGGTTTATTTTGAATTTTTCACCACTTCCTATTGTTTACATACTTTAAAATACCTTTGTTTTTAAAAAATCTGCTAACTAAAATTTGATGCCATGGAAACATATTACATGATAAAACTTGGATTCTGAAAAAAAGTACAGTTGGATGARTTCACATACCCAAGACACTGAAAGCTGTAACTAAATCTTTTATCATTTTATATATTTTTAAAAAATCTTTAATAGATTGTGCATTACATTCTTTCAACAACTATGGACTGTTTGCCATATACTAAGATGCACTTGGAAAGACAACATCTTAACATCATTCCACGTCTATTTGAGTATTTAGTAATTTTCTTTTCCTTTAATACCTGGTTGATGCTGAAATGTAAGGAGATCTGGAATTATGGAAAAGAATTTAATGAAGTTTAGGGGCTAGGGTTGTGGCTCAGAGGTAGAGTGCTCACCTACCCCATGTGAGACACTGGCTTTGATCCTCAACACACATAGAAATAAAGATATTGTGTCCACCTCTAACTAAAAAAAAAAAAAAAAAAAAAAAGTGAATATAAAAAAAAGATTCAATGAAGTTTAAAAATAGAGCAGTATAATACATCAGAAAAAAATATTTACACGTTATATGTTGCACAGGACAGCTAGGATTGAGGGAGAGGTGGGAAATTCGAGATTGTCAGAGATGAAGTTACCCAACAGGTTTACTTAGGGCTTCACTGAAGCTTTACTTTCCCTGAATCCTTTTTTAGAAAAGGAATACTCTCATTACAAAAATTTCATTGGTTCAGTTAAAGCAGCCTTCCGAGATGTAAGGAGATGTCTACAGGTCTCATCCTTCCCTAGAAACCATCTTTATAACAGTCATTTAAATTTATCCAGTCCAACTCATTCAGAGAACAAAAACAAGCAAACACAACAGTACTTTGAATCACGTGCTGTCATAAGATGTTACACTATTTCAATAAAGAGTGAAATCAGTTTGAAAAAAGTTACCATCAAAATACTGAACTAAAACTGGATTACAGTTATAAAATAAAGTTAAACCTGACAATTACCAAGAGTTAAGAATTCATCTGAAGCAATCAATTGGAAGAAGTGAATATATTCTGAATCATTTAAGGTAAATTATGATCCTGTAAACTAAGCACATAGCACTGCAATAAAATGAACAGAAAAAGGGGGCTGGGGCTGTGGCTCAGTGGTAGAGCACTTGCCTCACATTTGTGAGGCACTGGGTTCGATTCTCAGCACCACATATAAATAAATGAATAAAATAAAAGTCCATCAACAACTAAAAAAAAATTTAAAGAAAAATATGAACACATTAGTGCATTATTTTTAATTCTAAGAAAAACCGAAATTCAATGAGCATATTCCAGATGAAATAATTGTACCAAAAAAAAAAGGGCTAAAAAATTTAATTTTTCAAGAAGAACTTCAAAAAACTAACATTAAAAATTCTGGCAATGTATGGAAATGCAGACATGTGCACAAAAAATATAGATCAGGATTACTACAGCAGATAAACCCAATGAACAAACATTATTAGAGATGTCAAAGTAATAATCACCTTGGGAATAAAAAATAATCATTTTCCAAATTAACCTTTAATGATCCTGACAATAACCAAATGGTATTACAATTTTAGGAAGTTCTTACTATATCCAAATATCTTAGTTTCAGTGACAGAAATCAGTTACTCAATGTTCACACAAAGATAAGTAGTTCCATCCACAATTTATTGAATTATAAATCAGATTAATTAGATGTTATGATGATTAAAAGTAGAGAATAAACCTGAAAAATGTCACAGCGGGTTCTTGTATGTCAAGGTGCTTACTAATATTATTGGAATGTTTAAATTATTAGAAGTTAAGAAAATGAAGTACCTATCAAGGATTCAATAATAAAAATATTTTTAAAAGACCATCATATTTGGTAATAAATTATTTATAAAACTGACAATTTCAAAATAAATAAAACCTGAGTTGAAAATGCCTCCTCCCCCTACCCTGCCCTAGTATACATATTTTATATCCCCATTTTCACTTAGGCCAGTGTTCTCAACCTTTAATAAGCATACTGATGTCTTGATTTCTGATTAAGCAAGTATATTGTGGGGCCCAACAGTACATTTCTAACAAGCAACAGATAAAGCTGATGCTGCTGATCCTTGGACCATCCTTGGAGCAGCAAGGTGACCCAAATATGTCCTCACTAGGACAATGTCTGGCCTAACAAGTGTGTGGTTTTATGGACTCTAGGCTGTAATATTTTGCARTCAAATAAATAACCCAAAATGATCACAAAAAAATAAGTCTTGGAAGAAAAGAATATTTTAGTTAAGCTTGAAGTTTACCAAGTTGGCAGTGTTTCTATTTGTCTGACATCTCCGATACATTACAATATAAATCAGTAAGCCAAGTTGTGGTAGTTATAAAAATGAAGTTACTATAGCTTGAGGCTCTCCTCCAGTTAATTCAAGTCCAGAAAATTCAGGCCAGTACACTGCAAAACCACTATTAAAAATCTTTAATAGTAAACTGTCCATTTAAATTCTTTGTAAACTTGTTTTAAGCTACCCCATCTTCTCCTCCTCTTTCAACAATCAAATGCTGCTTTTTCTTCTGTCTTGTAGCTAAACAGCGTGTAACACCCAATGCCCCTCCCTTTAAAAATCGAACAAAATTGTCTCCGACCAAAGGGCCTAATGCAAAAAGGTTGGCTTCTTTAACACATTCATAGGTATATGCATCTATTTCCACAGGATTACCCTTACATGTGATTGGCTGGCTTGAATTATGGCCTAGGTAACATCCTTGTTCCTTTAGGAAAGAAAGATTAGGATGAGACCCTATCAATACCACTGCTGCAGACAGCTTAAATATTTTCTTCAATCCAGAGATGCTTTGAAGAATGCATTTCATGTCCGACTTAAAGGAAAGCACATGGTGCTCAGGAAAACTGGTATAATCAGACAAAAGATTTGAGTCTGCAGAATATATCTGAGTACACATCATATGATAGACTTTATGATATTCAGGATAAAGCTTTTTGGGAAGCTGCTTGAAAATTAAGCTTGGATCAGTTACTCGTCTGCGGAAAACATGGATCACGGGGATATTATTGTTGTAAGCACACAGTACTGCGTCAGCTGCAGTAAGCCCAGAACCTACAATTAACACTGGATCCACTCTGCCATGTAACTTTCCTTTACTTATAGCAGCTCCAAATTCAGGCATTGAATGAAACACGAAAGGAAAATCTTCCCCTTCAATTTCGAGATGAGCTGGAGAATCCAATGTTCCAGTTGCTAGAGCTACATTCTCAGCAAAGAGGCAAAAGGGAACATGAGAACCATCTGCTATTCGCTGATAACCTCTGATTTCCCAGTTTCTCTTGACAAATTTTGACTTCTCTGTCTGTAAATGCTTTGTTGAAATATCTGAGTCTTGACTATCATTTTCATCCTGATCTCTGTAGAGTCTTGATACAGAGGTTATGTACGTATTCTCTCTGAAATTCTTCTGAAGACCCATGACTTTTACATAATGTTTATAGTAGCGAGCTATTTCCTCTGGCATAACTCGATCCCCTTTTAGATTCCTAAAAAAAGAAAAGAAAAAATATCTTATGAAGAGAGTACTTAAGTTGCCACATTTATTATTTCTCTAGTAAGTATTTATATCTTTTTAGTTATTCTGGACTGTCTTAGCTAAAACTTATCCTAAAACTTTATAAAGAAAGCATGTTTTTGTTTTTAATTAAAAACTTTTAATGAATAAGTTTTATCAACAAAAGAAGACACGAGGGCAGGGACATTAATGCATCTTTTTTCCTCTAGCGCCATTCATAGTGTCAGCTCAAATTAAGTTGTTTGATAAACTTTTATTAAGTAAATGAAGGAATTAAAATGTGGATATCTGAAAATTAGACTATTTTATATCTCAATTATAATGTGTAACTGTTAACTGAATTACATAGATTATAATCACTAAGAAATTACAGTTCTAACTGTAATATCTATGCTTCTTGAAAGATTTATATAATACCATCCTGCCATGATTTTTTATTTTTTTTTAAGGTACCAGGTATTAAACTCAGGGGTGCTTAGCCATTGAGCCACATCCCAGCCTATTTATTTTTTATTCTGAGACAGGGCCTTGCTAAACTGCTCCGGCTAGCTTTGACTGGTGATCTTCCTGTCTCTGTCTCCTGCAATGCTGAGATTACAGGCACATGGCACCCAATCTGACTTTTTTTTTTTTTTTTAAGTTACAGTTTTCTAAAAGACCAAAAATAATTCATCTGTCTTCTGCTGTACAAAATAATTTTACATCTAAGCAAGTAAGATATTATATTTTGCTCAATGTGTTTTCCTCCTCAGAAAGAGAACTCAAAGTATAAACTGTTCTTCATGAAAGATGTACTAACGTACACTTGGCTTGTAAAACAAATGGTCAGTAATATTCCCAACAACTATGCCCAAATTACAGATAGGTAGCAGTAAAAACAAACCAAATCATTAAACATAATGCACTATTACTTGTAAACGGAAGTTCATAAAAGTTTTTTAAGTTTACTATAATTTATTTAGAATACATTAAATCTTAACATTTACAGAAAACCCATGAAATTGTTAATATTATTATCTCCTATTATTTCTATTCTTTGCAGAATAGAAAATTCACAATTACTTGAAGTTATTTGCCTGAGACCACTACAATAGAAGTTAAAGTCAAGCAGGGTGCAGTGTCACACACCCATAATCCCAGCAGTTTGGGAGGCTGAGGCAGGAGGATATGGAGTTCAAAGCCAGCCTCAGCAAAGATGAGGCACTAAGCAACTCAGTGAGATCCTCTCTCTAAATAAAAATACAAATTTGGGCTGGAGATGTGGCTCAACTGAATGCCCTTAAGTTCAATCTCCAGTATCCAAAAAGAAAAAAGGGAAGGACTCAAGCCCTACCAATCTTTTAAGAGACACAAATCTGCTCTTAACACTAAGATCAGGAGCTAMAGCTAATATTTATCACAAGACTAATTTTCACATAATATTCAAGATACAATATGCACAATATAAAAAGATAAATGCTTCTGTTAAAAAAATCATAAAGCTCCTTCTCTTACTTGTTTTACAAAGGGAGAATGTACCCAGCAATTTGGCTTGTTTACTTTAAAAAATAGGGAACTTGGTATAACGTGCCTGATTTTGTAACTTTGTTTGAAACCCATATATAATTCCATCTTAAAAAGCCTAAAAATGAAACTTTAAGGTTTTCATTTAAATTTTTTTAAATTTAAATGTTTAGGGGCTGGGGATGTGGCTCAAGCGGTAGCGCACTCGCCTGGCATGCGTGCGGCTTGGGTTCGATCCTCAGCACCACATACAAACGAAGATGATGTGTCCGCCAAAAACTAAAAAATAAATATTAAAAAATTCTTTCTCTCTCTCTCTCCCTCCTCTCTCACTTTCTCTTTAAAAAAAATAAAAATAAAAATAAATTTAAAGGTTTAATCTCAATTACTCATGCTCTAAATCTGATCATCTTAAATTTCAAATGATAGAAAACTTAYACGGATTAAATGATTCTTATCTATCAGGGAGATAAYTACTCAAATGTCACATCCCTATTATAACAAAGGTTAAATAACTTCCTGCTTTAACTTATTTCCATTAATAGTCAAAGTGGAATAGATTCTCTTTATTGGTAATTCCTCTCTAATATCTATCATCTGTGAAAACAATAGTGTTTCCATATTTTTCCTTTTTCACTTTTGGATTCTTTCCCTCAAAATAAAACAAATTTATATTCTTCCAAGATGATATTTTTTCTCAGTTATTTCTACTTTCATATTTTCTTAATTAAAGACTGACTTTCATGCCCAAGTAGCCAACCATATCCCAAATTCTGAATTATTCCATCATTCTACATAGTCAATCATACAATATACACTCTTTACCCTGAAAATCAAACACTTTGGGTATGTACACAAGATATAAATAAATGAAGTTATATATCAACTCATAAAAATGAGTGTTTGAAAGTGTAGAAAATGATATGTGGGTAGTTGAGAAAGTAACCAAACAGTGATTTAACAGGAAAGAAATTCATGATTAACAAACTTTAAAAAAAATCTATAAACACTTTCTTACTACTTAGTTTTATAATATCTCTAAAAGGAAACTAGCTCATAATTACTGCTTGCAGGATATATTTTCATCTGAAAAACATGTATATTTATATTATTCATCCAGGACAGGATCACAAATATTGTGAAATTTTTCCAGTCTTTTTCATTTTATAACAAAGAATTTTAAAATAGTTTGATCATTACCTTCGTTTGCTAGATATCCAATCTTTAAATTTAAGTCCAGGAAGCTCCATCCAGTTCCCAAAGCTGATTGTCAACATGGAGCCTTCCATATTCTGTTAAAATTAAAAAGTAGTAGTTAAAAAAAAAAAAAAACACTATTAAACATATCATGGATTTTTATAAAAGCTAAAAATTCCATTTATAATAATTCAGACTCTAGACATGTTGTCCTCAATGTACTCATAAATGTTTGTATAAATTGCCTCCAAAATTTTATTCCAATAAACTTTTACATATTTTCATCATTTTGTATTATCCATTTATATATCTTCTTTTATACAGTTATACAACCATAAACATATTTAGCGGATTCTCCAATGTCTACACAATATTGATAGCTTTAGCTTACAATTGATATGACAATCATGTGTACATATTAACGTTGATAGCTTTGGCATATGATGGATACGTTAATTTAGATGTACCTGTTATAAGTCACTATTTCCACTGTTTTTAACAAAATGAAAAATATTCAATAATTTCTAAAACTTAAGATATTTTTCCATTTTAACATTATTTACAGTTTTTTTTTTTTGTTTTGGCAGTACTATAGATCAAACCTAGGGCCTCCATATTCCAGACAAACATTCTACACTGAGCCCAGACCTCATTTACAGCCTTTTAAAAATTAGAAAACTACCTAATCCATCAATTACCCTCCATCAATTTTAATTCTGAAGTCTAGATTGGTTTGGATATAGCAACATCTTTTACTACAACTAGAAAAATAAGCAGTGGTTTCCTGAGAAACAAACTCACTGCTGGAGTTAATGCTGTCATCAAAGAGGTAAGCACTTCAAGCTCCTGAACCTACTTACTTCTGCTCTCCTTGATACAAAGGAATAAATGTCCAAGGGTCAAAACACTTATCCCAATAATCTCTTTCATCCCACTGTTTTAGATATTATTCTTCTTACCCTGTTTTTATAAGGCCCAGAACTGGGAGTGGGGCCTATATTATATTTTTTTAACTTACCATGTGCAAAGCCTATGGTGCATTATCTGAGACAGCATACAGATCACCACTACGGGTAGAGAATGCAGCAAGATGCACATGATTTGAGGCAGACTGGCTTTGATAATAGGTTCAGAATCAAGAAAATGAATCATCATTAAAAGGAACTGTTAAAAATTTACTGAATCAGAGATTTTCTGAAGCCATAATTGCCTCGTGCAGAACTCAACCTTCAAGAGGTTGAGAGGTAGCATTGTTGAGAGACCTAGTTCTCTGATCTCACTTTTCTACCAATCAGTGTCTGTCTGTTCTATGCAAACTATAAGACATGAATGTCTGTTCTTACGGAGACTGTAGTGTAATATGGGAGGCAAACCAGATACAAGTACAATATAGGAACATATGCAAAGTATTTTATTTCTTCAAGGATACATACAAATGGGCTTCTAGGAGTGCACAATTAGAAGGAGAATATTCCAGGCAAAATATAAATTTATGTAACAGCTTAATGAGAAAGAACTTAAGTAGCTTTCTAAAAATAAAATTTAGYAGACTTGGGTTATTCCAACCCTTCATATATTAAGAAAGGCTTGTCTTCTGGACACGGCCTTGTCTACTCCCTCCTAAGAGATTACTCTGAGCCCCTAAAGTATTGTTTTTGTTTTTTTTCACACCTGAGGCCTTGGACATGTTCTACCAGTGTGGCCATGTAAAATTATCCTAACGATATGATTTACAGTTAATACCAGTGTTTGTGCTGGAGGCAGAGGTCTGATGGCTGAGGTCAGACACACAGGCACTGCTGGCCTATATGACTGTTGGTCCATAAAAAATCCCTAGACACCAAGCATGAGTGAGTTTCCCTTCTTGGAAACTCTACATGTGTTTCCACACACTGTTCTRTTGGGAGATTTAGCACATCCCTATGTGTTTCTACTAGACTTCGCCCCATGAGCTTTTTCCCATTGCTATGCTAATCTATATCCACTCATGCAATAAACTGTAAGCATGAGTAAATCATTTTCTGAGTCCTGTGAACACTACTGCATCACAGAGCCTGAACATTGGATTCTGCAACATGAAAATGTCAAAGCATGGAATGAGAGTGTGGGGAATAAGACAAAAAAGCTAAATAGGAGTTAAATCACATGGAATATGGTAAAATATATCAGGAAGTTTGTATACTATACATCTGACAAAGGGGGAGAAATTAATGGCTTTATCCATGGCATAACATCTCAGATTGTGTTTTAGTAAGACAACTCTGTCTTTGGTATTAAGAAAAAAATTGAAAAAGACAAGCTGAGTAGAAAAGGCATTTAGAAAGAATTCTGCAATAATTTGGGCAAAAGATAATGATAGCCAGTATTTGCAAAATTACAATTATGATAGGGAGAAGCACGGTAGGCAGACTCAAAATATGTCTCTGAGATAAAGAATGTTAGGGCTGGGGGTGCAGCTAAGTGTATAGTATATACTTAACACACAAGAGATGATGGGTTGAATGCCCAGCACCAAAAAAAAAAAGAAAGAATGGAAAAGATTTTGTGATAAATTTGAAGTGGCAGTTGAAGAAAGAGACATTAAGGAAGACTCCCAGGTTTCTGGCTTTAGTAACTACAGGACTGTGTCATTTAGTCATAAGGAAATTAAAGAAATTAGATAATTAAGATGATCAGGGGCTGGGGATGTGGCTCAAGCAGTAGCGCGCTTGCCTGGCATGCGTGCGGCCCGGGTTCGATCCTCAGCACCACATACCAACAAAGATGTTGTGTCCGCCGAGAACTAAAAATAAATATTAAAAATTCTAAAAAAAAAAAAAAGATGATCAATTTTAGGAATGCTGAGTTTCAGGACACCTTTGGAATAAAAAAAGGGGGTTAGAACTTAGATGTAGGAGAAAGAATAATATAGTTTAGAGATTTTTATTTAAGAATCAAGCAGCATCCATATGCAAGTCGTTAGACTAGATGAAATAACCTAGAGAGTATGATAAGAAGACCTTGGCTTGGGATAGAGGTCACAGAAGCACAGTTTTAAAGAATAAGAGTCCACAAAAGTAAATGAAAAGGAGTACCAAAGAGAAAGAACATCAAGGAGACTGAAGGTTCAGAAAATATAAGAAAGATATTAGATTTAACTGTCAAATGCAGTAGATCTGTTATGGTTTGTATGGGAGGTATTCCCCAAAAGCTCATGTGTGAGACAATGCAAGAAAGTTTAGAGGCAAAATGATTGGGTTATGAAAGCATTAACCTGAGCATTAATCCCAATAGGGAATAACTGAGCGGTGACCGAAGGCAGGTAAGGTGTGGCTGAAGAAGATGGGTCGATGGGAGCATGTCTTTGAGGGAAAGACATATTTTGTCCATGAGGGAAATGCACTCTCTCTGCTTCCTGGTGCCATGCTTCCAGCTTCTGTTTCCTGCTACACTCCTCCACCATGATGTTCTGCCTCATCTCATATCTTGAGGAATATAGCCAGCTGTCTATGGATTGAGACCACTGAAACAATGAGCCCTCAAATAAGCTATCTTCTTTTAATTGTTCTTGTCAGGTTTTATGGCCATTGCAGTGAAAAGGCTGACTAAAACAAGATGTCAGGAAATTTTGAGAAGATCAAGTTAAGCAAAAAAGGAAATTATTGACCTTCAGAAAGAATAGTTCCTATGGAAAACCAGAAACAGAAGCTACAGTCAGGGAACTAAGGAACAGGAGGCAAAGGCATGGAAGATGGTATGTACAGGTAATCATTTCAAGATGTGTTAAAGGAAAGGATAAGACAAGCTAACACCTAATTTTTTTTAAAGACAGAAATAATTTTAGCACATTTATATATTGACCAATAAAAGCTGGCAGAGAACTAATGATATAAGAAGATAGAGGAGATCAAAGACTGTCCTTAAGACGACAAGGGTCCAGATATAGTTGTAGGTGCCCCTTAGATAGGAGAAGTGATACATCTTCCCTTATAACAGGGACAAAAAAAAAAAAAAAACAAAGAATAAGCATGAATACAAGTAAGTATGTAGGGTAAACTATGAAACTGTGGAGGTTCAATACTGATTCTATTTTCTCCGTAAAACAAGAACCAAGAGCACATCTAAGCATAAAACAGAACTCAAAAAAGACAGGGGTTTGAAAAGAACTTAGTAACTTTGGCAAGAAAATGCTACCAAATGAGGCTAGACAATACTTTTCAAACCAAATGCTACCAAATGCTACCAAAAGGTGTTTAGGGCCCAAATGAGGCTAGACAATACTTTTCAGAGTTGTATGATTTTTTTCCCCAGGGGGTCTAACAGCTTAGATTAAATACACAGTTAGATGAACTGCCTTTTTGCTAAACCCATCTAATAGAAGGACAATGGGCCAAGGAAATTAACTAAGGAAAATAGTTAAATCAGTAGACTGTAGAATCTAAGCTTGGTAAGAAGGTGAAGCTCAGGGCTGGACCACTCTGGTTTTGAGGTTCAGAGCAAGTAACTGAGTGATGCAGCTATAAGAACAGAAATTGTGTTCAGAAAATAAGATGTTTGAGGACTGGTTTCACAAACTGAGTGATTATGAAAGAGATAAGATCCATAGAAAAAACATAAAAAACTGTTGGCAATGAGGAGTGAAGGGACTATGAGGTTAAGGTGCTGGTTCTGCATCCTGTATGTAGTCATTCAATGTGACAATAAAATTTCGGAAATAATAATCAAAGACCATGAGCCAGATGTCACAGATTGAGTAATTAATGGATATAATTTGGAAAGGTAAAGGAGCTAGAAGATGACCTGTTCAAAGGAACGTGGGAATTTACAAAAGAGCAATGAGAAGTAAAGAGAACTCTAACCTCACCAGCAAAATGATAAAACATGAGGCAGTAGGAGAATGAACAGGCTTCACTTCAGAGAGCTGCAATGGGAAAGGTATCTTTAGGAAAAAACAAGTTTTCAAGAAAGGGAGGAGGAGCACCATATAACTCAAATAGTTAAGAATATAGGGTTTATCGCTGAGGTTCTAGAGGACACAGTTTATAAAGCTTGGAAGAGAAGAGAGTGGTAAAAAACCAGATCACAAAATGGAGATAAGAATGAGAGAGGGTAGATGTCTAAGGCTAGCGAGGATGTGCAGAGCACATGGCAGAGGGAAAGTAGCACAAACACCTCAACAGTACGATAGGCAAGCCCTGAAAGATTAAGATTAAGGTATGGAATGGACAGATGGGAAAAAATAATTATGCCTCGGAAAGTCAGAAATCCTCATTAGAAGTATCCTTGACAAATGTATCACAGCTCAAATCCCAGTTATTTATATCGATATTCTAGTTAACATATTCCTGAAGAAAAGATAAGGAATTTCTAAAATATGCTTTTAGAAATAATGGTTTATCCAGACTTTAACTTTTCTACATGAAARTAAAAGAAATGAAGTAAAAAGAGATCAATTATTCCCTGCACAGTTTTTTTAAGCAGAAAAAGTTAAGTATACAATAAAACCTCAGGAATTTAGAGAAGGCAATCTAAATACCCTTCCCCACATAAAACATTACGGCTTTTTCAAGAAATAAAGTTTCATTAAGAATTCTTCTCAGCATGTCAGGGTAGAGCTCAGTGGTAGAGTATATGCTTAGCTTGTGTAAAGGCTGGGTTCAATCCCTAATACCAATTACATAAAAAAGGAAGACAGTACTATTCATAGAGCAAATATAAACACAGCTTTGCAAGTAACAGAATTTTTTCATATCTTGTATTGGTGGCTTCACAGTTATAGACATTTGTTACAGATCATCAAATTATATACTAAATAAATGCAGCTCATTGTAAATCAACTATTCTTAAATAAAGTTAATATTAAAAATAAACAAAAATCTTAAATGAAAAGGTACAGATAGCTTGGCAGTTTCTACATAATACTATAAAAAGAATTAAGATTTTAAAAGTTATTAGTCATATATATTATATAAGAATATATCAATACCCTGACATAGTCACTTAACAAATGTAAACCACTTTTTAGATGTGTAACATTGTACTAATAGGAATAGCCAATTGAAATCTGTATTAAATATTTGATTATTTAACATGCTGAAGTTCTCATAAATCTGTATTTCATACAACAAACTAAATTATTTTTAATTTTTATTTTTTTTGGTAAAAACCAGGGATTAAACTCAAGGGCAGCTGCTGTAATAGCCACATCCTCAGCCCTATTTTGTATTTTATTTAGAAACAGGGTCTCACTGAGTTGCTTAGCACCTTGCTTTTGCTGAGGCTGGCTTTGAACTCACGATTCTCCTGTCTCAGCCTCCAAGCCACTGGGATTACAGGTGTGCACCACCATGCCTGGCCAAACTAAATTATTTAACATTTATTTGTATAACATATGACCATTCATTACATTTTGACAATTCTAGACATAGTGTTAACTAGGGATATAAGAATGAAGAATAATTGGCCCCCTACCTAATGAAATATACTGGATGAATCTTCAATTTATTGGTTCTCTTGTTTAACCTCTGCTATGGACTAAATTGTCCCCCTACCACAAATTATTATGGTGAAGTCCTAATCTTCCATGTGATGTCATATAGAGAGGGGGCCTTTGGGGATTAATGATGTTTAGGTGAGGTCATGCAGGTAGGTCCCTCAAAATAGAATTAATGGCTTTATAAGAAACAATTGCTCTCTGTACATGTGAGGACACAGTGAAAATGTAGGTGGCTGCCTGAAAGTGCCTGAAAGCCAAGAAGACAACCCTTACCAGGATCCAAATTAACGAGTACCTTAAATTTGGACTATGCAGCTTCCAAAAATGTGAGCTATAAATACCTGTTTTTCAAGCCACCCAGTTTTTGTTATAGCAGCTGAACAAACTAATACAACTTGTTTCTCTTAATATATTTTTTCATTTTTATCTTGAAAATGTCTGGGAATAATAAATATTGGTTTTGAAATAAGATGTTGAGATATTGTTAACTTGAAAATAAATGAATGAGTAAGTTTTGCTATATAAAACATTTCTGAAATGTTTTCTTTATAATTCTTGTAAGATACTATAGGAAAATGCTAGTTCTAAGATTGTATTAATAATAAAAATTTGGCCTTAACTACTATAGGCAATTAACTGATATTTAACCAAACTGAGGAGCATTAAAATTTTTCTCAGATAAAAATGCAGTAAACATATACAACAGTATTATCTTCATAATGCTTGAATCAAATTGATTTCATCAGGACAACAAATAATAATTCATGTACATGAAAAGGCTAAAAACAATATACTCACATGCCAAGCTCCACCAGGTGGACCTTTACCAAGAACTAAGTGAGGGATATAATGATGTTGCTCTAATTTCCAATGCAAAATGGATGGATAATCATACCCAAAGTCAGCATCTGGATGAAGAAGTGTGTCAAAAAGTACTGCAACTGGATTGGATGATCGGCCCTCAAGGCCTTCAGACAAGTATTCTAAGTCCTGAATGGAAAAAAAGGGCAGAGTCTGAAAAAAGTCATGACAATGATAATTATAGTAAAAGCCATTACCCTTAAGCATTTCCCASATAGTGAGTTATAGAATACTGATGTTCCTTGAGATCTTAATGGATTCTTTGGTCAAATAATACAGGTAAAATTTAGGTTTCCACAAAGCTAACCAGATCCTTACACTGGAAAAGTTGAAGATGGCTTTTGTATGTAAAAAGCAGCACTTTCAAACTTACGTGAGCATACAGCAACTATTAAAATTCCACTAGAACACAATTTGGGAAATTATACTTTAATAAATTCCATAAAATAGGTAGACATAAATAGATATAACTTCACAGAATACACTTATGAATCTAAAATAAAATAACAAAGTTTTATTTAGAATGAAGAATTTTTAACTGAGAAACAATGCTTATATAAATAAAACTAATTTGTATCAGCATAAAAAATTTAAAAATTGACATAATAAACAATACCTGATCAACAATGGAAAGATGTCTTGCTTCTTCTAATTTACTATGTAAAATTGTATTTGGGTGTATTGTTTCTGATGATAAATATGGTCTATAGCCTGATAACATATAAGAAAGGCATATTCCTGAGGGTCCATTTCCTRTTTTGAAAAAGGTAGAAAGAGGTGTATTAATACTCTTGTCACTTGGCTTTCCTCCTACTTCAAAGATGGYTCTTCTCCCTCACTTATTCTTTCTTCTCTAATCTCTTAAAGTTGTCTCAAAAAACAAGATGTCTCAAAGATTCTGATCTTTGCTTCTCTCTATTTTCTTTTGGGAATCTCATCTACTGAAAGTTTCAGTTCTTTATGCTATTAATTCTCAAAATTAGTTCTCTAGATGAACTTCCCCCAGATACATCCCACATTTCCATATGCTACTTCCTCATTCCACCTGACTGACCTACTAGTAACAAAAATGATGTATTCAAAAGCAAACAGGAGTCCCTTCAAGTAGATGCTCTCTGCTTTAAATTTCATCACCCATCTCCAAGTATGATACTAGCAAAATCCTGAATTAATCAAATTCTGATTCTAAACCTATTTTCCATCAGTTGTCTTTGCTATTATCACTTCTGTACTTTCACAAGGAGGAATAAAGTCTTCTGTTTCTCCTTCTTGAGATTTACCTATTCCATTTGACATATTGCATCCACATAAGTTTGGTAAAACATAGTCCTCATTATGTTATCCCTCTATTCTAAAACCAATATTGCTTATTTCTGACTATTCAATGTTTCCACATTCTGGTAACAACCATCTTTCCATTATCAGCAATTAATAATGCCTTCCTATAGGTATGTATATTTTAATTAAAGCCAAATTGGTTTTCTTGATGAACCCCACTGAACTACTTCCATTCATGTAGCTCTGTTAGCCTAGGTTGCCACTTCTATTTTGAATCTCTATCAAAACTTTAATCTAACAGAGAAAATTGCTAGCCATCACGAAAAAAAAAATAATTTTTTGTCCATTTATTGAAATAAAATATGTTTAAAGACATAAGCAAAAAGAGTAAAACCATAAAAATACTAGAAAAAGGTAATATTTCTACATATAATGCTAGCATGGAAAAGCTTTAAGCATGACAGAAAACCCAAAAGACAGAAAAATAAACCATTTGACTTGATAAAAATTAAAAATAAGTGACAAACAGAAGTCAAAAAGCTAATTTCCTTGAATCAGAGACAAAAAAAAAAATAAAAATCACATGCTAATCGATACAAGCAAGAGTAGCATTTGAAAAAAAYCGAACATTTGTTCATAATTAAAAAAAAACAGAGAATTTTCTGAACATGATAAACATCATCTATAATAAAGCTACAAACTGGGTGTGGTGGCACATGTCTGCAGTCCTAATACACAAAGGCCACAAGGCAGGAGGATCATATATTTGTAGACAGTCTGATTAACTTAGTGAGACTCCATCTTAAAATAAAAAATAAAAAGGGATATAGCTGTTGTTGTACAGCACTTGCCTAACATGCATGAGGCCCTGGTTTCAATCCTCAGTACCACATACAAAATAAACAAACAAAAAACCTTAGCTGACATAATAGTAAGAAACTAGATACTTCCCCTCTAAGATCAGAATTAAGACAAGGATGTTCCTTCTCATCACTTTTGCTCAACACCATAACCTAAGTACTAGCTAATATAATAAGAGAAGGAAGGAAAATAAAAGATACACAGATTGAGAAGGAAAAAAAAAATCCATTTTTGCCAATTACATGACATTTATGTAAACAATCCCAAAGAATTGATTAAAAAAAATTCTGGAACTAATAAACAATGACAGCAAGATTAAAGGATGCAGGTCAGTATGCAAAAGTCAACTATTTTCATATATTCTGTCAATGAACACATATAATCTGAAAATAAAAAAACAACACTATTTACATTTACACCAAAAAAGGAAGAAATACATAGGTATACATCTACTGAAATACATATAAGATCTACATGAGGAAAATAACAAAATTTAATGAAAGAAATCAAAGAACAGTTACTTAAGTTGAAAAGATATTCCCTGTTCACGGATAGGAGGACTTGATATTGTTGTCAGTTCTCAATTTGATTCAATGCAAACCGCCCCCCACCAAAAAAAAAAAAAAAAAAAAATCCCAGCACTATGCAGATTTCAGAAAATTGATTCTAAAATTTATATAAAGGTAAAAGACCCAGAAGAGATAACACAATCTTGAAAAACAACAAAGTTAAAGGACTGACATTATTCATCTTCAAGTGTTACTACAATGCTACAGTAAACAGTATAGAACTGGTGAAAGAATAAACAAATATATGAAAGGAACAAAACAGAGCCCAAATATAAACCCACAAAATATAGTCAATGATCTTTGACAAGGGCACAAAGGCAATCCAATGGAAAAAGGACAGTTATTTCAACAAATGGTGCTGTAACAACTGGACATTCTCATGCAAACATAAAAACCTAGCTACTGACCTTACATCTTTCACAAAAATTATTTACAAATGTATCATAGACCTAAATGTGAAATACAAAACCATAAAACTTCCAGAAGACAACTTAGAAGAAAATCTAGATGACCTTAGATTTGATGATGAATTTTTAGATATAACATCAAAAGTCAGGTCTGCAAATGAAAAGATTAAAATTTAAAAATTCTGCCCTGCAAAAGACACTGCTCTCAAACGGGAGGGAGGTGAGGGWGGGTACATGGGGGCAGGAAAGATGGCAGAATGAGATGGGCATCATTACCCTAGGTACATGTATGACTGCACATATGGTGTGACACTACATTGTGTACAACCATAGAAATGTAAAGTTGTGCTGCAATTGTGTACAATGAATCAAAATGCATTCTCCTGTCATATATATCTAATTAAAATAAATAAATAAATATTTTTAAAAAATGAAACTGCTCAGAGAATGAAAAGACAAGTTACAGACTAGGAGAAAATATTTGGAAAATACATTGTGATAAAGGACTTGCATCCAAAATATACACACAGATTTTAAAACTTAAAGTTAACAACTAACCTCCACCAACCCCCCAAAAAAGAACCAGTGTAAAAGGAGGCAGAGTTAATCAGATGTTTTACCAAAAGCAATACATGGGTGGTAAATAARCATATGAAAAGATGCTAAACACCATACATGATTATGGAATTAAAAATTAAAACAACACTACACACCTAATAGGCTGAAAAGCAAAACAAAGGCCAAGAAAATGCTAACAAAGACGTGGATTAACCGAATTCTTGTTACTGCTCCTGGGAATACAAAATTTTATAGCTACATAAGAAGATAGTTTGCCAGTTTCTTAAAAAAGCTAACCATACTTTTAACATATGACCCAGCAATCATACTCCTAAGTATTTTCCCTAATAAGTTAAAAACTTATAAATATGCAAATACCTGTATATAAATGTTACTTTACTCAGAATTGTCAAAATTTGGAAATAAACAAGATATCCTTCAAAAGGTAAACAGATAAACAAACTGTGGTACCCTATATAATAAAATATTATTTGGTAATAAAAAAAAAGTGAGGTATCAAGTCACAAAAAGACATGGAGGAACCATAAAWATATATTGTTAAGTGAAAGAAACCAGTCTGAAAAGGCTATATACTCTACAATTCTAACTATATACATTTTAGAGAAGGTAAAGCTGGAAGACTATGGAAAGATCAATGTTTTCTAGTAATTGGGGGTTGAAGGAAAGGTATGAATAAGTGGAGTATAGATTTTTAGGGCAGTGAAACTATTCTATAAATACTGTAATGGTAGATACATAACATTATACACTCTGYTAAACCATGGAACTACTTATCAGAGCGAACTCTCATGTAGATTAAACATTTTAGTTAATAATAATGTACCAAAATTGATTCCTCAACTATAGCGATCATATCACACCAATACAAGATGCTAATTTTAATAACAGGAGAAAATGAGGCAGAGAGAGGAGAATATGAGAATTCCCTTTATTTTCTGCTCAATTATTTTATAACTGAAAATGCCCTAATAAAAAAGTCTATTTATTAAAATAGCCAACCAGCAGAAGTTACTAAATTCCTTGAAAGAAAAAGGTACAACACTCAAAAGTAAATAGGCAAAGAATACAAAAAGGCAATTCAGAGAAATACAGTGTAATAGGGAGAATGCACCCTCATCCCAAAGATGTCTCAGTACTAACTCCCAAAACTTTCTAATGTTATCTTAGCAAAAGATAACAAAAACAAAAGCTGGGGGCTGGGGATCTACCCCAGTTGGTATAGTGCTTGCCTGTCATGCACAAAGCCCTGGGTTCAATCCCCATCACCACCACCAAAAAAACAAAACAAAAAAACAAAACTATTTTTAATTAAGGATCTTGTGATGGAGAGTAGCCTGGATCATATAGGTAGGCCCAATACAATCATCCTGAGTTCTTAAAAACAGAGAATCAGGCTGCCCAGCATTGAAGCAAACATTACTGGCTTTGAAGATGCAGGAGGGAGCTTAAAAGCAAGTAATATGACCAGCCTTTGGAAACTGGAAAAGGCAAGGAGACGATTCTTCCCTGCAGCCTTCAAAAAGTTAACATAGCCCTGCTGACACCTTAATTTTAGCCAAGTAAGATCAGCTCTGAACTTCTGACCTAGCAAACAATAAGATAATATATTTATATTGTTTAAAGCCCCATGTTTGTGGTAAATTGTTATAATAGGAACATAAAAACCTTACATATATTAAGGAAATCAGCTCTTTACCTATGCTCAGGTATTGCTACTCCAAATAGTAATGGAACTATGTACATTAGGGTAAGCAACTCATAGGTTAGATAAGACAAATAGGGATAGATTGTTTTGGGAGGAATAGGGTAAACAGATGCAGATAAAGGTAGTTTTCTGAAAGACACGGTTCCTTGTCATCCTGGATGAAAAATCAGGATTGGATATAAAAGGGGAAAAAGTCAGATACAGGATATGGCCCCTGAGATGTATCTTGGATAGGAAATACTGTCATCTATTTCCTAGAGGAGAATCTAGTATAGAAGAACAATCTTGCTCTCCTGCCCATCTCCCTCCCTTACTTCCCAGTATCTCCACATGTTAATCAGAGAACACAGCTTTAATTCCCTTCCTACTAACTCTGAATTAAAGTACAAAGGATATACAACAGTAATGTCATGGTTAAGGGAATTATAAATATCATCGYACTACAATGTTGCCAATTAAGGATTAATATTACAAATTGGGTTACTAACTTGTATAAATCACTGTTTGAGTCTCTCCCTATATGTGTGTCCCCTGCCAACATTAGAGGGCAATAAGGTTATAAGGTATAATCTAATAATATACACCGAATGCTCACTTCAGACCTCTAATATTGGTTATTATCACTACCATGACACTACTATACAGTTAATAGAATTCTTATTATCAGGTCTCCAGTGAAATGTATTAAATTCTAACATAGCCACTAACATCAGATTACTTCCTCCAAAGATTTGATTATTAGTTTTTTTAACACATAAAACAACTTTAGAATACTTTTTAAATTAGAACTAATTCCTTTATTATCTTTTCCACTCTCCTTAAAAACTATTTTTAAAAATTATTTCTAAGTCACACATAGTTTAACTGTACATATTAATGGAGGTACTCCGGCATTTCAACACACATATACAATGTCTACTGATCAACTCAGGGTAACTGACATATCTATCACCATACACATATATCATTTCTTTGTGTTGAGGACACTAAAAATTCTCTGTACTAGCCATTTTGAAATAAGACTACTTTTTAATATAATGCTAAGAACTTGCACTGCCTTACTGCAGATTTATTAAAGTAGTAAGGGCAGTAAAAATTTTTAACAACAAAATGAAACAACTTACCTATTATTACCACAGGCAAAGTCACTGACGAATCTTCGAGTAAAGAAGTTTCTTCAACTAATGGCATCGCTTTAACTTTTTGCCCCAGATTATCACCAAAATATTGCACTAAGGAATTAAAAATCTCTCCTTCAGTTTCAGTGTCACTATAATTTCTTTAAAAGAGAGAGAGAGAGAGAGAGAGAGAGAGAGAGAGTCAGTCAATATAGCCTTGATATAAAAGTCACTTTTTACTCATATTTTATTTAAGCCACAAAATACTTAATAGTTTCACAATGCTTTGAAATTAGTAGTTTAGCTGTATGTCAACCTATCCTACTTTGAAGGCCAGAAGTTCTAAGTAGCTGTTTATCTTGTAGGCAAGCTTTTTCAAGAAGCTCTCTTTAATGATCAAAGACACAACATTAGAGATTTTATAATTCTGAGATCTTCTATGAAGACTAGTTTCTCTACTTTTTCTCATTAACTAAAAGGCGAATGCATTAAAATATACAGTCATAAATGTTTTAAGGAAAAGTTACTGTAGTTAAATATTACAAATTGGGTATTCGGTAAAAGAGGTTTATACACTTTTATTATCAAGAAAATATAAAAATAAGGAATGATTTTAATGTTGATCTCCAATCTTTATTTCCCAATTGCCTCTCTAGAAACTAGTTTTAGCACTGTGGCATGTTCACACAATAAATGGAGTATTCCCTGAACATGGGTAATGCTGTACTATTTTGTGGATTACTTTGAAATAGAATTCCTAAATTATTTTCCATATTCATACAGTCAGCAATAGTCATCATGTCTGGAAGTATTGAGACCCAGGAGTAGATATGTTTCTTAGTATTTCCCAAATGATAAATGACAGATAGATCAGCTATTTCACAAGACTAAGGGTCAACTCACTGATSCCAGAAGATGTTGGCAAATGAAAAGAATTAGATGGAGACAGCAAAGTCTGCTTCTGTGTATCCCTCAGAGGTCCCAATCTACCTTCAGATGGGGCAGAGTTCTCAAAATACTATGAGAGCTTTCTTAAACCAAAGAAAGTAATGTCTACCCCTAAATATCTGGACTCACCTAACATTGCCAAAATAGATAACCCTCTGGACTGGCAACTAAAGAAAGCCCCTCCTCACACTGCAAGGACACTATCCCTGGAAGGAAGCATCTTTTATGATCAATCCATCCCTTTCAAGAGCATTCTAACTACTGCCTCTGATCAGATCCAGATGTATCTACTGTCTTGCCTGCTTCTGCTTCTTAGAGTTTACACTAAACCTGAGTATTTTCTACTTTGGTCTGTTCCTGATACTTCTCCAAAGTGTGTGCAAAGGACAAGTCCAGCTCCTGTTGGAGGCTTCTGACCAAAGTCATTTTGGCTACCCAGGCTGAATAAACATTGTTGTAATGGTCACAATTCTAAGGAAATGCAGACTTCTCCCTTAATTTCCCAGACATCCCTACCTCAAACACTGTGCTTCTCTCTATATATATAAAACCTGGAAAATAATAACTTTAAGTCTACAAATAAATGCTGTGAAATTAATATGTAATATTCAAATGCTAAAAGGTTAAACTATAACTTATGAAACTACAAATTACTTTCACCTAAAGGTACAGTAGAACTCAGTTTCTACAGGACTCATTTTTAGGGGGCATTTAATATTCTAAGTCGAGCTGTCTCAAGCAATTATTTTTCTGGCAAGCCTTAGAATTTTATTCACCTATAAATTCTATATATAGACTATTATAAGCAACTATATTTCATTTCACTGAACTTGTCCTCTCAATCAGTTTATTTAGAAAAATAAATCAAGAGCTTAAGACAATCAGAAATAAAATGCCCTCTGGTGGGCTTCTGTTAATCAAGAAAAAAAAAAAAGATAGCTTTCAAAAGCTCAAAAACATAAGACAATAGGTTACTTGATCAAGCCTTACATTAAGGCAAACAGAAGAAACACTAGAAAGAAATTTTAAAAGACTTTCAATGAATTATAATTCATACATAAAATTCACCCTTAGGGTGTACAACTTGATGGTTTCCAATATATTCACAAGGTTTTGCAACCATCATCCCCCTAACATAGTACATTCATTAGCAATGATCCTCTTTTTCTCCTTTGCCCAGCCACTAGCAAGCACTAAACTATTTTCTGAATTACTGAATTTGCCCATTCTGGACACCTCATATGAATGTGACCACTCTCAAAACATGTTGCCTTTTGTGTCTAGCTTCTTTCACTTACCATGTTTCCAAGATTCACTCATGTTAGAGCATGTATGAGTACTTAAATTTCTTTTGAAGACTGAATAATATTCAATGGATATGTTATACATGGATATGTTACATTTTGTTTGTTATCATTTGTTGAACACACAGGTTTTTTCCACTTTTCTGCTATTATAAATAATGCTGCGATGAACACTCACTGAAGGTTTTGTATTGACAAGTTTTCATTTTTCTAAGGAATATTCCCAGAGAATATACAGCAATAATTTGGCCATTTACTCTATCTATATTAACATCTTGAGGAACTGCCTCACTCTTGCCAGCATTATTAAGTCTTTTAGTTAACTATCCTAGTGTCTGTGAAGTGGCATCTCAACTGCAAATTTTGTTTATTTTTTTAATATTGGGTCTTGCTATTTTATCCAGAAAGGCCTTAAACTTAAAACACTCCCTCAGCCTCCAGAGCAGCTGCCTTTAGGATTTACATTCCTTAGTGACTAAAGTTAAGCATATTTTCAGGTGCTTATTTTCCATTTGAATATTTTCACTAAAGTATCTATTCAAACCCTTTGCCCATTTTTTGTTTTTGTTTTGGGGGGATTAGGGATTGAACTCAGGGGCACTCAGCCACTGAGCCATATCCCTTGCCCTATTTTGTATTTTATTTGGAGAGGGTTTCACTGAGTTGCTTAGTGCCTCACTTTTGCTGAGGCTGGCTCGGAACTTGCTATCCTCCTGCCTCAGCCTCCTATGCCGCTAGGATTACAGGTATGCACCATGGCACCCAGCCTTTGCCTGTTTTTAACTGTTTTTTTGTTAAAAAAAAAAAAGTTTTTTTTATATATTCTGGACAAATATCCCTTTTCAGATAGTTTGGAAACATTTTCTCCCATTCTGTGACCTGCCCTTTCACTTTCTTGATGATGTCCTCTGAATGAATAAATTTAAATTTTTGACCAAATCAAATTTATTTATTGGTTGCCATGCTTTTGGTGGCATATCTAAGAAACTGCCGCCTGATCTAGTTACAAATATTTATTCCTACATTTTAAAATTGTAGTTCTTACTAATAGGCCTTTTGTCCACTTTAGTTTTGTTCACAGGGTAAGACACATAACTATCTTTTTTTAAATGTTTTTAGTTGACACAATACCTTTATTTTATTTATTTATTTTCATGTGGTGCTGGGGATGGAACCCATCGCCTCGCACGTGCTAGGCAAGCGCTCTACCACTGAGCCCCAGCCCCAGCCCCTAACTTCATCCTTTTTTGTGTGTAGATATCCAGCTGCCCTGAAATTCATTGAAGATAATATTCTTTTCCCATTGTCTCAGGTCCCTTAACAAGAGCCAAAGTTTCATGTTATTTAAGTTTTCTATATATTAGCTTGCCTAAATTTACACAGTATAAATAATTTGTTTTGATTTCTTATTATCACTGGTGTAATCTATCTGTGTGGCAACTATTTGTAATAAACTTGCATGGTATTTGATAACTCAATAGTGTTAATCAAGAAAAAAAGATAGCTTTCAAAAGCTAAAAAAAGAAGATAGCTTTCAAAATAGTGGTTTCATAGAGACATGAAAAATCCTGAGTCAACAGGAAAATAAAATGAAACTATGGTTAACTGATTTTACATATAGCAACAATGAATCAAAAGCCAATTAGTAGCTATTCTTTCTAAAAATAATCAAACCCTATATTATAAATTTAGTATTGCTGTACATGTTTTATAGTATATGCATATACTATGAACAATGTTAATTTCTACTTAGATTTTCCAACTTTATGAAAACTTTATTTAAGACCAGAATTTGTGGGCCAGGCACACAAAGGAKGATCACAAGTTCAAAGCCAGCCACAGCAACCCAGCAAGGCCATAAACAACTAGCGAGACCCTGTCTCTAAATAAAATATAAACAAGAGCTGGGGATGCAGCTTACTGGTTAAGTGCCCCTAGGTTCAATCCCAAGTACAAAAAAAAAAAAAAAAGACCAGAATTTACTTTGAGTAATAAAAATCTACTTTTCCTCTATTTGGGGCATCAGTTAAACTGAAAAATATGTAATCAAATTTAGAAAACAGTAAACAACAACAGTTACCAAAACATTCAGTATCAAAGAAGATAACTAAGAGGACTTTAGAAGCTTCCCATTTTTTGGTTTTTGAAACATTACTGTCCCAAGTTTCAAAACAAATTTAAAAGGGTAGTGTAAGCAAAATATCTAGATAACAAAAAGACTTTTCCCACATTGTAGCAATATCTCTTTAATTAAAATGAAATGCTTTAATACCTCAATTTTTATAATCTTTGGAAGCACAATTCTAAATTTTACCAAATCAATACTAACACATGAAAAGAAGTTTTAAAGTCACAAAGGCAGTCACAATTATCATCTGCCAGAATAGGAARTACTAGGTTAGTAGACAGTTCTCTCACTAAACATATCAATTCAAATATTAGACAAATCTCAAAATGTAGTTTGTCACAATCTGTATAAAATGTGTTTCTAATGAATCTGCACAAAGATAGCATTAGTAAATGAGAAACATTCCTAAAAAATGTTTTAGGTGACCTTTTTTCTTTTTTAGAGGCAGAAAGCTTGCAGGCTTGTTGTCCTTTCTCTTAAAGACCAAAATGTAGCCCCATGCYTTTTGTTTTTAGCCCCTATTCAAAATTTCAGTGCACAAAGATAAGCAGATGGTGTTTACTGCCTAGTATTTGAGGAAAGGATATAAATCCCAACCAGGCACCTTAAGAGTTCAGCTGTATACAAAAGATTGTCAAAAGGCTTTGGGATAGTATTTTCTAAAAGTGATGTTAGTTTCTCAGGGGTTTAAATTTAACAAGTTTCCATTAGGGAACCAGTTCTCTAAAACTCTCCAACTCTCCAAAATGTGTCTGATACTCTCAAAACCCTGTTTGTTAAGTAGACGACAATTTGTCTTGAAGTTACAAAAGCAATCTATTACATACTTTTTTATTTTTTATTGATTTTTTAATATCCAGAATTTGGAGACTCACACAAAACTCACTGGGCAAGCCTAGCTTATTGCTAGTACAACAGGAGTCCTGAACTTTCTCTGTGCCTTACATCCCTTTCATAATTTGGTAAAGCCTCAGGACCTCTTCTCAGAATAATAGCATTAATAGGACTTACAAGGAAACCATTAAAATAGTTATTAAAAAAAAAAAAAAAAAAACTCATGCGGTTGGGGCTGTGGCCCAGTGTTAGAGCGCTTGTCTAGCATGTGTGAGGCACTGGGTTCGAACCTAAGCCCCACATAAAAAAATAAAATAAAGGTATTGTGTACATCTACAACTAAAAAATGTATTTAAAAAAAAAAAAACCTCGTGACATACAAGTAAATGTGCATTAAAGAACAATTTATTGATGTATAGTAATTACTGTAATTCTGAAGAAACATTAAGCATAAACAGTATTTCTAGATATCTGCAACTAATGTGATAGGGAAATATTTGTGATTTACATTGATGTCAATCATAAATACTACTTTGATTTGTTACTTATACTCCTAACTGAAGGAAATGCTAGTGTTGTGAAAATAATATATTTTCGGTCCAAGTTCATAGACCACCTATATCCTATGAACCCCAATTTAAAACTCTTGATTAGAGTTTCATAGCTTACTCCCCCCCCCAAAATAAGTGTTACGCATCATCATTCTGGAGCATTCAAACGTGTAAATTTCACCCCTGGGTTAAAACCATTTCTAGTGTCTTTGGTCTTCTCCCTTGCAACTGAAGTTCTGATCAACTGTGCTAGACATAGAAAACACACCCACTTTTATTTTTTAAATGTATTATCTTTCTCACCCCTTAAAACCTTTCCCCATCACTGAGTATAAAACTGTGACACTTTTTCAAATTTCTACTCTATATCTAGAAACTGACTTATCATAAGCAACATCTTAAGTCAGAACCTATTCGTAACCAGATCACGACGTTAAACGTAGTTTCCTACCTTCTGTCAACCCAGTAACTTATGTTATCAGAAAAAAAAAAAATTAAGTAACATTTTTTTTTTTTTTTTTAAGGAGGCCCTTCGCGGGAATCCGTCGCTACAACTCGGCACGACTTGGAAGTCTCAGCCCGCCGTAACCGACCCATCCCGGGCCTAGCCGGTCTCGCAGTCCATCCCGTGACCCCCGTGGTCCTGGGCGAGGGAAGGAGGACGAGCAGGGAGCCCGTCGGCAGGGCGGACTAGGCGGGATCGCGACGCGGCGGGACCCCAGCGGCGGCCGAACGCAGCGCTGCCCGTCCTCCCCGCCCGCTCGGCTCAGCTCGGCCCACCTAGGCCCCCGCCGCGCTCCACCCGAGCCCGCTCCCTTCCCGTCCCCGGAGAAGTCACCTGAAATGACCGGCCAGGGAGCAGCGGCAGCACCACACCGGCATGGAGCGCTGCGCGAGGGGCGCCCGAGCTCAGCCACCACGGCCGCTGCCGCCGCCACCCCCGGCGGGGCTGCCCGCTCGGGGCGCCCGCTTGCTCGGGGTCGTGGTGTCCGCCGGGCGCCCCCGCCCCGCGCCTCGCCGTTGCCGCGGCTGCCCGGGCTCAGTCTGGCCGAGTCCGCCTCCGGTGGCGGCTTCCGCTTCTTGCCAGCGGGGAGCCGAGCGCCGGCGGCGGGTGATCTCGGGCGCCGCGGTGGGGGCGGAGCGGGGCGGGGACGCTGCGACGACAGCGCCGAGGCGCGCGGGCTCCTCCTCACAGGTGCGGCGGCGGCGGGCGAGGCCTGTGATTGGTGGAGCCGCGGAGACGGCGAGGGGCCGGGCCTGATGGAGAGGAGGCTGTGCTGGCCGCCTGCCGAACTCGGCGGGCCRACCGCGCGGCGGCGGCGGCGAGGCCCTTCCCGAACCTCGGCCTGCGCCCGGTACGCAGCCTGGGGGCTCCCAGGGGTCTGAGGCCGGAGCGGAAAAGGAGGCGCTGCTAATCCGTCCCTGGGGAGGTCCCCGCGTCCCACGCGGCCTTCGCCACCCTGCCGAGGTCCGCGGAAAGCCCGAGCTCCCCGCCCCGGCGCAGCCTGAGCGCATTTGCTCGCGCTGGCCGGGATGCAGACTCCCRGAGCTCCTAGGTACTGCCGTCCGACACAGCATCACAGTCACCTKGGGAGTCCTCACACCACTGGTGCCGGGCCACATCCCCAAAGATTGCAATTTTGAAAATCCACATTCCTGGAAGGGGTCAGCCTCCCTTCTTTCAGTAAGTGGCTCTCAGACACGCGCAAATGTGAGCAGTACAGACCTACCGAGTCAGTGTGGGGAAGTGGGACGGACCGGGTGCGTGTTGGAGTCCCTCTAGGTGACTGTGATGCGATTTGGAGGTAAAGGTAATTCGTGAGTGTCCCTATTTGGTGTTTGTCAAAATTAAAAGGCGCGGGGTGAGAGGCTGGCAGTGGACAACTGGAAGGAATTGATTGCATACTGTACTGAACAGAAATGCATTCTATCCTGCCTCCAGAAAAGCCCCGATTATTGGGGGGAATTAAAATATCAATATTTGTGTTTCGTACCCACTCCCCCTAACCCCTGGGGTTTGAGCCGCTGAAATGCAAAACTCACTAGCTTTGCCACTAAGCTGCATTCCTAGCCCTTTGTATTTTACATTTTGACACAAGGTCTTGTTAAATTGCCAAGGTTGGCCTCCAGTTTGGAATCCTCCTGGCTCAGCCTTCCTAGTTGCTGGGATTAGAGGCAAGTGCCCAAGAGCCCAGAGTGTTTGTGTTTTTAAATATAGTTTTTAAAACAAGTTTTCGGATTTTGCTGGATATTATCCTTGACCAGACTTGCAGTTTGCAGTTATTTTAGGTTTTGTGGTGCTTAAAGAGAACCGTAGGATTCAACTTGCCAACAGGTTTATACAATCAAAGAGTATGTTTGCCAATATTAAAAGTTCTCTTTTTCTCTTCTTTCAACTACTGACAAATGTGACATGTTCAGTTTAATGTTGGTTCTAAGAGTGAAGCATGAAGTTTAATATTTACACCATTATCCTTTTAAAAGCCCCTAAATTCTTGACAGCTATGCCAATCAGATCCTACACTGTTTTATTATATACATTTTTCCTTCATGGCTTTGTTTTCATTTTTAGTTTTCTTGCAGTATTTTCACAATAAATAAAAAGTAGGTATGTCAGTTTTGGGGCTTAATCTGGTTTATATTTAACCTTGTGAACTTGCTGTGATGGTTTAAACTTGATAACAGCTTGTGGTGAAACCAGGCCACAATGACTGTGTAGAGGATTTTTATTAGGGCAAATGAGGCATATCCGAATTTTCATATTTTTGAATTGAAATTGTGGGTGAAATGTTATTTAAGCATAAAACCCATGGTTGGTGAAGTAATGGGGAAATAGAATCAGATACTGTTGGTGAGAGTGCAGATCAGGAGGTAATCCAAAACTCTATCACTTGCATTTGAGGAACTCAATGTACTCTATGACCACAATCTAATTTACAGTGAATGGTAGTTCTGGGTCCACAGTGTCACCTGGTTGTAAACTCCTTACCAAACAATCTTACTGATATATACATTAAATTATAGTGTAGTGACCAAGAGGATCCTATACTGGAATCTTCACTATCTTAGCTGTGTGATCTTGGGCAAGTGACGTTAGCATTTCAGAGCATATCCTCATTTGTAAAATGAAGATAATGGAACTTACATCAGCAGTTGTGATGATAGAACATTTATGAGAATCACAGTGCCTGGCTCCTATTGGTTGCCAAATGAATGTTATTTTCAGTATTATTTGTAATATTGCAAAGTATTTTTACATTTCCTAAAAGCAAAATTCCGAAAAGTATATGCTGTGGACTGAATTGTGTCCCCCAAATTTTTTAATTGAAGCCCAACCACTAATGTGACTGTATTTGGAGCCAGGACCTAAAAGGGGGTAATAAAAGTTAAATGAAGCTATAAAGGTGGAGCCCTAATGGGTTATGACTGGTGCCTTATAAGAAGATAGAGCTCCTCCTTCAAAAAGAGGATAAAGGGGCAAGCTAAGCAGAGYGCCTTCACCAGGAATTGAATTCCCTGGCCACCTAATCTTGGACTTCTTAGTCTTCACAGCTGTAAGAAAACAAATTTCTATTGTTTAAGCCACCTAGTCTTTGGTATTTTATTATGGAAGCCCAAGATGACTAAGACAGTATGTATTTGTATTTTCTAGAAGCAAACCAAAACTTTTAATGTAAACTATTCAAAATAAACTGGTTGCAGTTCATAATCTCTGCAAATCAGTCAGTGGACCATGCCAGAAAAGGTAAATTGATAGTGTAAGACTCAGGTGGTTCTAGAAAACATTGTAGAGAAACAGTTACTCCTTTATTAAACTTGAAATTCTGAGAACCTCGGATGCCTTTCAGATTTTTTATCTGACTCAAGCCTGTTGATATACTTGTTTTTACACTAACTACCTCTGTTCAACTGCCAGCTTGGAATTCTCATCAATTCAATGTTCCATATAGATGGCAAATAATAAGAGTGCTTCCCTGAGTAAGTACAAAGTTGGAGACAGGAGCTATGTTTGGGACTTTAAGATGATGTTTGCTCCTACAGTTTGATCTCAGGGGACAGAGAGAAAAATACCAAGGTGGCTTCCTACTAAAAAAAAAACATTTTATTTTTGTGAATATTGTAGCAGTCATGTTCAGTTGCAGAAAACAATACATAAAATTCACTCTGGCTAATTTAAGAATACAGGTATTAAATATTTTGCAGACTTAGAGGAAGACTAAAGAAACATAGGTAGAACTCTGAAAAATTCCCTGTCACAGCAAGAGCAGTCACCAAGGGAGCTGTTGTCTGTGAATGAAAAGCTGCCTACCAAATCAGAAAATTTTGCTACAGCCTCTGATTCCAGAAATATATATACCTGATGTGTAATATTTTAATCTTTTTTTWAAAAAAATCTGCCTATAAGGTCCTTGCTTGGCATCTGGATGGCCATCTTAAGTGACAGCCATCATTTTAAGGAAAAAGTTTCACTTTCCCACCCAAGGGCCTTTCTGAGAAAAGCTCACCACCCTCATACTAACCCAACCCTTAACTGCTTTAATTAGGACCCACCTACTCTGATTCCTGAGTCTACCTTATAAAAATCCCAGAATTCAAGCCTGTTTTGCCTCTCTCTCCTATAGAGAGATAGCCTTTGTTTGTCAGCTCTGACAAATAAACTCTCGTATGTATCTCTGCATGGTTTCCATCTTTCATTTCTTGTTCACCTGTCTCTTGTTCCTCGATTTCCCTTCACTGCCTCCCTGTCCTACAAAGTGAGTTCAGGAGGTCAGAAATTTTTTTTCTTTGTTCAATGTTGTATACTCAACACTGAGAACAGATCTTGATATTGATAGGAGCAACACACAAATCAGATAACACTCACCCAATAAAAYCAGCAGGGCCAAAGTTGGGTAAGCCTTGAACGAAATGGAAGGAAAAAATATTAGTTATGAGATTTTTCTATCTCATTGTTTATAAGGTCAATTTGTAGGCACTGTTTGCATTCTACAAGATAAGGAGAAGTAGAGAAAGAGTACATATGATAAGAGATAAGTCATAAGAATTAATCTAGATTTTTAGTATCAGCAGTTCCAGAAAGTGAGATTAGAGAAAGTGGTTGGATGAAAATTATTAACAAGAAAAAAGTTTTAGAACTAAAAGGAGACATGAGTCTGCAGATGAAGAAAACCTACTGAGTAAGTACTGAGCAGGAAAAAGAAAAATAAACATATGTGTATGCATACACACACACACACACACACACACACACACGCACACACATATACATATTTATGCACAAGGGAAAAAACAAAGGAACTTTTAGACTTGATAATATCCTGGAAATATTGGAAGAACCTGTTCTAACAATGGCGTGGAAGGAGACTTGAGACAAAAGTAAAAAGGCGATTTGAGGACTGAAGTAGCTCACTGGAGCATTTGCCTAGCATGTGTGAGGCACTGTGTTTGATCCTCAGCACCACATAAAAATAAATAAATAAATACATAAAATAAAGTTATATTAAAAATATTTTAAAAATGGCAATTTGAAATCTAGTGGGGWTGATTGTGTGACAAAAACAACCAAATAAAGTATAATCATAGAATACCATTTGCCTGGGCAAATAATACCATTTGCCTGGGTGAATAATGTTTAAGTAGACGAAATATAAACATTGTTTACTGATTTTCAAATTTACAGTCCACCTGTAGACAAAGAATCACTTAACTATGGTTACAGAACAGGTTGTAAATGTTAAGTATGTTAACATAAAAGAGAACAAAAGAAAGAAAGGTTATGGAATAAAAAAAATTCTTAACTGACACAGTGAAGAGATACTGCTTATAGTTGAAATCAGAAATATGTGTTTAAGTATAGTGTTCAAAATCACAAACATAATCAGTGAGAAAACTAAATAGTGACATAATTTATTAGGTATTGCATGTAGGTAGGGAGATTTTGGGGTGATCTAATGTAATTAAAACCTTATAATGACAAGAACTGGGTATGCAAGATCTAACATTGACTAATTGAGAAATAGTATTATAAGCATATTTTGAAAGATAGGAGGGAACTAAAACCAGTAAGATGTGATTGTTTCTTGAAAACAATTCCAAGGGTATGAATAAGATTGGTTGGGGACCTGCTGCTTTTTGCATTGAG